TGGCGAGGGGGGGCTCCCCACAGCTCCCCCTCCTCTTTCCAGCTCCTTTAATCACTGCCCTGTGCAAATGTTTAACACTGTTCCTTCTGCATTTAAAGCCTGGTTTGCTGCAGCGACCAAGGAGGGACGGAAGGAGCCCAACCTCCCACTCATCGGGAGCAACCCCAGTCAGACCCCTTTCCATCTCCCAAACGCTCCCACAGTGCCCAGCCTCCAGCCCCTCCCTTCTTCACGTCCCCCCTCCAGCCCACCCCTTCCTCCCCTGGGGGCACAGTCCGAAAAATGGCCTGGTTTTCTGTTCTCAAAACGCGCTCCATGTGATCTGGGGGGGAGCAGCCCCCGGTCACCTCATCGGGCCCCACGCAGACCCCTGCTCTGCTGAGGGTCGTGCAGCACGAGCGCTGGGCTTTTCTGGTTTTGCTTTCCTGTGACGGACAGATGACCCCTTTTCCTCCCAAATTCAGCCCTTCCAAGTATAACAACTCCACTGGAGCCTCGTGCCAGGCAGGAGTTTGTCCCAGCATCCTCCTTTCGCTTTCCCAAAGCTCCCGGGTCTTCTCCTGCCTCTGCTGAATGCTCCCTGCCTTCGGCTGATTCCCTGCCTCTTGGCCTGGGCCCTACCTTTCCATGCCCTGCCTGGCCCCTGCCCTCCCGGGCATGCCCCTGCTCCCATCTCTGGGACGCCCCTTCCCCGGGGGTCCCCTGTGCTGCCCCATAGTGCATCCCCACCCCTTGCCTGCACCCATCCACATCCTCGCTCACACAGGCGCACAGCTGTTCTCCATCTCTCAGTGCCCCTGGGTGTAACTGCAGAGCAACCGCCTCTGAGACAACCCCAGTGCCTCTCACCACCCACCCAACCACCCAACCACCCCTCTGCAAACAGCGGCCTCACCAGCTTCTCCTGCGCTCGCCCAGACCTGTTGGGCTCCCTCGCCATGGCAACCGCCTTCCATAGGCTGAGGCTTCTGGGAGCTGTAGTTTCTTGGGCAGGAGTCGTTCCTTGGGCAGAGAGTAAGGCTGGGACTGGCAGTTTAAGCAAGACCAGTTTCCTTGCTGTGGAACTTGTGGAGGTTTTGAAAATGGAAAGATCTTTTAAAATCTAGGTGCAAATTTTCAAAGCTTGGGCCAATTTGCACTGACTGAGCCTGTGCTAAACACAGCCTTTGAAAATTTCAGCCCTAATGTTTGTTTTCTATCATTGATGCATTTGTTCACCTTTTGCATTTCACTTGGATTGAGAAATTAGTCCAGTCAATTTCACCCTTTGCCTCTAGTCAGTTTTACTGTCAGGATTCCTTCCTGCACTGGCAACATCCTGCAGTATTTGGATTTGGGTTTCCAGCCAAACTAACATCTGTTTGCACTGATATTTTAATATGAATAAATCAGATTTACTGGAGAGGGGTCAGAGACGAGTCATGAGAATGATTAAAGGAATAGAAAACTTGCCAAGGAGCTCAATCTAGTTTAACAAAGAGACGGTTAAGAGGTGAGTTGTTTACAGTCTGTAAGTACCTATATGGGGAACAAATATTTAATAATGGGCTTTCAGTCTAGCAGAGAAAGGTCTAACGCGATCCGATGCCTGCAATTTGTAGCTAGACAAATTCAGGCTAGAAATAAGGTGTACATTTTTTAACAGTGAGAGTAATTAACCATTGGAGCAATTTACCTAGGTTTGTGGTGGATTGTCCATCACTGACCATTTTAAAATCAGGATTGGATGTTTTTCTAGATCTGCTCTAGGGATTATCTGCGGGAAGTTCTCTGGCCTGTGTTATACAGGAGGGCAGACTAGATGGTCACAGTGGTCCCTTCTGGCCTTGGAATCTATGAAAAACATTTCTGTTAATATTCATTTGGCAAAAACTTGGATTCTTTTTTGCAAAATGTAAGGCCCCCAGCTCTAGCAAAAGCTTATGCAGATCCGTAACTTTACTTTAGTCCCTGTTGAAGTCAGTGAGATATCTCACATGCTTAAAGTTAAAGGTGAGGGTGTTTGCACTGCAGGACAAGGGTCTTGGTCCTTTAACTCCAGCTGTAGAGGTTCGTGCTTTCAGCTGTTGGAGCTCAGGGGTCAGTTCCTAACAGTGCGCAAGATGATGGCAGTTACACATAGGATCCCTGAGTGCAAAAATCATGAGACTGGCTAAAAAAAAATCACATTTTTTATAGTAATACATGTTGGGCTTTTTTCTTTGCTTTCTGTTTTCTGAACTTTAAGGACTTTTCGCTCACGTCATGTGTTCAAGCTTTTCATCACAACCATGAGGACTAGAAGGATAATGAAAGCTGTGTGTAGCTGGCATAGATGTGCCCAGTTAGTAAATATGGTTTTCAATCCCACTGTGTCTGTGTGGGGTCTTCATATTCTTATTGTTGTGCAAAGAGCAGCCCCATCCGAAAGGGGCTAGTCTTATTAAAAAGGATTTGTGTGTGTGGGGGGGGAGGAATGCAAAAACTTCTCTTAATTAGTGAGCTCCCAGAGCCGCGAGTTGTGTCGGTGCTTATGACGAGCGGTCTAATAGGAAGGTTGGCGTTTAGTGAATCCTTTCCACCACTGCAGCAATGACAGGAGGCTAAATTGGCACTGATGCAATCACTGGGGAAGTGTGAGGGGTGGGGGAGAATCAGCTGTTGAAAGATGATATAAAGAGCACTGCGAGGCCAAGGCAAAGAGAAATGTGGACAGCTGTGGGTGAGCAAGGGTATGCAGGTCTGGCAATGGTGAGTAGAGAAAAGCTCATGAAATCTCAGCTTTAAACAGGGACTGCAGGGCTCTGTTTGTGATTGTTGAAGTGGTGGATTTCTCCTCCTAGATTGTAACTTACAAGAGGGCAGCACTGTCTTTCTCTTGTCTCCTGAAAGCAATTGGTAGGGCTTCCAAAATGTCTTCTTGTGTAGCCATGTTCTCCCTTCAGAGAACGGGTCTTGATTCCTCAGTCTCCTCTCCTTGTCAAGTCCATTAACCTTTAGGCAAAGTGAGCGCAAAATGCGATCACACCAGAACTGTAGCATTTGATACCGACTTTGCTGAGGTATAAATGGCTACGTGAGGTGCAAGGCAGTGGGGGAATCAGATGCAAGAAGTGCAGCTATTTACTGCTAGCGCTTTTAGCCTCTCTAGAGGTTGGCCTACCTCAGTGCTGTAGAAGTCCTGCACTAACAACCCTTCTAGACTTCACAGGGAGGGATAGCTCAGTGGTTTGAGCATTGGCCTGCTAAACCCAGGGTTGTGAGTTCAGGGATCTGGGGCAAAAACAATACTTGGTCCTGCTAGTGAAGGCAGGGGGCTGGACTTGATGACCTTTCAAGGTCCCTTCCAGTTCTAGGAGATAGGATATCTCCATTAATTTATTATTTATTTAATTTATTTATTTATTAGACAGTATATCATCCATAGATCTCCTAGAGCTCTAATAATGATTCCCCGTTTCCCAGATGGGGAAAGTGAGGCACAGAAGTCAAGTGACTTGTCCAAAGTCTCCTCCTAAGTCAGTGGCAGAGATGACAGTAGAACCTACTTCTCTAGATTTTTAGCCTTGTGCAGACATTGACAACATGAGGGCAAAACTGGTGTAAAATGCTGCTGAGTCAGGATGGGGACTATGTATACCTGCATTGTCCCTGCTGTTAATGACTGGGGGCAATGGAGTCAGACCTCTATCCACTAGCCCGCACTGCCTCCTAGCACGCTCGCCAATGAGATGGCTCCTTCTCTGTCAAACTGTTACAATAGACAGCTGGAGTGTAAGATCTGGGGAGCGGAAGGCGGCCTTGACTTCTTGTCCTTTATCTGTTTATTTGTGATATAAATGTACGTTCCCTTCAAAGCCACATTCTTTCTTTAGCTATGTCAAAGGATCTGAGGGAAGATGCTGTTCCGCTTGTAATTTACCACTTTAATTATAACTCCTCTCTAAAGTGGAAAGTGAACTTCCTAAGGAGGAACAACTCTTTCCTTCCTCTTCTGTTTGCCCTGGTGCCTCTCCTGTGTGATTTCATGGCAAGTGCTCAGCTGTTACTACTGGCCTGTAGTCACTTGTCCGGGTTTATTTTTTTCTGCATATTCTCGGAGTTGGGGACCCTGATACCTCAAGCCTAGTGAAGTAGCCCTATTGGCGATGCCGCTTTAATGCAGGACCAGATTTTGTCCTGTATGTTGTAGGCTGGCTGATGAGGAAGGTTTTGCTGCTCAGACCCTTCAGGCCTTTGGTGATAGGCAAAATAACAACAGAGAACACATCTGGGTACAAAGGAGACCAGGAGATGCCAAATTAGAATTAGTAGCACTGTTGGTCAGGGTAACAGACTCCTTCAAAAACCCAGGAAAGCAATGCTTGCTGTGGAATGCGGAGTATTCTGAGTGGGTCAATATTGTCTTTGCCTTCTAGATAGGTTCAACATGTCAGCACGTTCTACTGCTACAGGAAGACTTTTACATGGCTGTATGTTTCCAGAGGCTACAGATGAGCATGTTAGACAGCAAAATAAGCTAGAGTCTGTTTGTTTGCTTTTCAGGAAGTGACTGTGACATGCCTGCTGCTGCTCGCTGCTCTCTGGCTGCCTGGGGGTGAGAGCTACAATAGTGAGTCTCTTTATTTACTGGGCTGTGGGGTGAGGCTGAATAGTGAGGCCAAGAAAGGTGAAATCCTGTACCTGAGAATGTGCTCAAGCTACTTATCCAGAGTAGGATTAGCACTGGTCACTTCTCCCAAGAGCAGAAGGCATTTGGGTGGCTGGGGGGTGGAAGAGCGCGTGCACACATATACCCCCAGCTAAGGATGCCAAAGTTTTGGGGCCAGAAGTGGGATCTTTCCACCTTGTCAGCAGGAAGCTTTTTACCTGCCAAGCCAGAGATGAAGGTTCTGCATCTCCTGTACCAGTTGAGAGCAGCCACTCATCACACTGAGATTTGGATGCTAATGACCTCCTCCGCTCGAACAAGGGGAAGTGCAGACTCTTGAATGCTACCTCTTGGTAGGCACTGAAGAGGCATTGTCTTTCAGATGTAGTGTCCCAAGGCAGTTCAGCCATTAATGTAAAGGTTCTCTTGGGATCTAAGCAGTGACTCTAAATAAGTGCAACTGGTTCCCCTCACGGCTGAGCAGAGCACTGACTCAGACTTAGAGACAGGCTAACTGTAGCTTGCTATAGCCAGTTATTCGCGATGCACTTAAACATACCCACGTCCCTCTGCTGTAGCTGATCCGAAGAAGCCCCTTGGCCAAATGGAAGAGGCTGCCCTCCGTCCCAAGAGAAGCCCGAGATTCTGCTTTCCGAACCCATGTAAGCACCAGGGAGTCTGCCGGGTAGTTGAGGAGAAACCAAACTGCACCTGCAAGGCTGGCTTCACTGGGACATTCTGTCAAGGTACGGCTGGGCATGGTTGGGGTACACGTGTCAATTCTAGCAGTTGTGAGCGCTACTCAAGCCACTCCAAGTATGGGGGGCAGACTTTTGCACTCCGGTGAGTGCCTTTATAAGCTGACATGAGGAAAGGATTTGCTGAACTAGGAACAACTTCATGGGGATGGTGTGGGAGTCAGCAGATCTCTGGTGCAAAAAGGGGTGGGCCTGTGATGTGACTTGTGTACGCTTCCCCAATGAGTGGGGTGGGTGGACTTTTCAGGGGGGCAGTGGGGGTCTGGACATGGGGAGGAAGCGTGGGTCTCTAACCCTTCCCACGCTACCCTGGTCTGTGGATCACAGACGGCCCAGCACTTGCAAGGGGTGCGTGGAGCTGCTCTGGTTGCAGAGATGAAACCTCTATCAGTCAAGCCAGGATGGCTCCTGTTGGCTATGGGCCAGACCAAGGCTTTCTTGGTGAACAAAACTGGGCAAACGGAGAGGATTTGCTAGCCCTTTGCTTAGCTGCTCTCTGTTGGGAATTGCTCTCTGGAGTCCCTTCAGCTGTGCTCAGACTCGAGGATGGTGAGCGTCAGTGGCAATCTGGCCTTAAGAAATGTGAAGCCCTGCACTGGGGGAAAGGAAACTACTGGCCCTCCTCCACTCCCTTCTAGTAACTAAGCCGCTCCAGCCTGTAGCACTGCATTAGAGTTCATTTCCCTTTCATCTTAAACCTGTCCTCATGTTTCAAGCAAGGGACACTTCTGCGGTGGGGTGAGGTGGGGAGACTGCAATGCTGTCATTCCAGGGGCCTCGCAATAGGAGGAAGCCCAAGAACCACTGTCTAGTAGCATCCCATAGCTTCCCTTGGTCACTAATGGACTCTGGCATAGCAAAGTCAAGTGTCCCTCGAGGAAAGTGACCCCAAAAAGTTGCTTTAGACGAAGGTCCGAAGCAGAAGCACTTCAGCCTCATCTGGCTTGCCAGGGTGATCGTGCTGTAGTGTACTGACTGCACAGACATCAGTCACGGGGATTAAATGTAGCACCTCTGGATCCAAGTGTGAGCCCTCTGCTGTCTGGAGTTAAAAGGCCACGTCCCTCAGCTTGGAGGCTGAGCAGTAGACTTGGAAACCTCTTGGTGTCTAACCACTAGAGAGAGAGAGAGAGAAGCTCCCACTGGATTCATGTGGGTTCTCAATCTCTTCCACCCAGCATCCTTTGCAGGCCTCTGAAAATCATACTTGGCCAGCAGTGAAGTGAAGGATGCTCTCTGTATACCGGTGCTGGGTGTCACCGTAGCTGACGTGGGGCTCCTTCAGGCCTCTTCCTTACGGCTATTGCAGATCGCTTTTTCCCCAGATGTGGTACTCAAGCTGCAGTGTGAGGAAGATCACATGAAGATGATGGTGAGAAAGGAAGTGTTCGAAGTGTTGAAAATCCCCTTGGCGCGGGTCCACTTGAAGAACAGCGCTTGCAAGGTCTCCGAAAAGGAGGAGGATGGAGCAATCTTCTTTGCAGCCACTCTCACAGGCGAGAACCATACCCTGTGTGGGTCAGTGATTCAGGTAAAGGCTCCGTGGGGTGTCTCTGATTAGGAGGGGGAAGCCATTCTGAGACCAGACACCATGGTGAAGGGGTTCGGGGTGTTTCTGCTCTTCCTGTTTTATCTCTGCCTCGTAGCATTAGTACCTAACTCCTAGCTCTAAATGGAAGTCTTCTCAAGAGAGCTGGTATGGTGGCTAGTGTACACCATCTAACATAGTCAATGATTCTTTCTGGACCTCCGCTGAGTTGTTGGTTGGGGTGTGAGGGGGCAGTGCTTGGCTACTTCAGCAGAGTATGGGAGTCTTGAGTTTCTATTTCCCAACGGAGAGTAACTGTCTTTCCAGCAGCTGTTGTATGTATTAAGATGGAATAAATGGGCTAAAGGTGTTAACATAACCCAGTCACAATCCTACAGTCAATAGTATTAACCAAGGTCCGGGAATTGGTAGGCAGAGTCCTCCGCCCGCTTAGCATCATGGAAAACACTCTAGACAATTTGTGTCACGGATTATTAAAGAGACTTTTATTGGACCGAATTCTGTTGGTGAGAGTGACAAGCTTTCAAGTTATACAGAGATTTTCTTCAGACCTGCGTAGGTCAAAAGCTTCTCTCCCCAACAGAATTTCTTCCAATAGACGGTATTACCGCACCGGCCTAGTGTCTCTAATGTCCCGGGACCAGCATGGCTACCACAGCAGTGCAAATGCCAAAGATTAGAACTTTTTATTGATTGAAATATACGAAAGGAAAAAGACTCAAAACAAGTTAGAGCATTAAAATGGAAATTGTTTTGCACAAACAAAGTCCCTTTTTGGAGACCGAATATGGGTTAAAGCCTCTTATTGCGTCAACCAGTCCTTGGTGGGGAAGAAAGAGTTAATTCTATTCCATTCTGAATTGGGAATGGTAGTCCCTTTCCTGCTTTAGACCAGACGCGCCCCCCCCCCCTCATTATTTTAATCTGAGTGGTCCTTGAATGGTATCAGCAGATGCTTTCTGTTTAAATTAAATCCAACTTGGTCTCCTTCTCACATCTTCTCTTCAACAGTTTCATGTAACCAATCCATTGACTATTCATGGACCTTTCCCCACTAGTCATCGGTTAGGTTAGCGATTCAAATAGGCCTGCTAGGCCCCGAATATTGTGATCGCTGCCAACTTTCCGTGTCATAGCAGGACTGTGTCCCGTTCTGGTGGCTGGACTGCAGAACAAGAGCCTTCCTTCTGCCAGCTAATGGAGATCTTCCTCAATCTCAAGATATAGGAGGCTCTTTCTCAAGTCCAAGGTCCTGGGTTCTGTACCCTGCCACAAATGGGGTGTGGATTAGCTGAAGGTCTGTGATCTGTTTTGGTGCTACATGCTAAACCATATCTACAGACCTACCACTACCAATCTGCTACATACCGTGCTGTCTTAATACAGAGATCTCCGTTAATGGGGAACAGATGACTTGTTCTGGGCCATTTCATGGCTCAGACCTCGAGAGAGGCACACAAATTAAAGGCTGAACTTGAGACTTGCCTCTTCGGACGAGCACCCAAAAATTCCAGCTGAAATCCATGGGTGCTTGGGTGCTTCCAGCTGGACCCCCAGAACAAGAGGCCTGTTTGTGCACACAAGTTGATGGCTGTGGGCTTTGGGTGGAAGCCTCAAGGAACAGGCAGTGCCTTCTATCTGCTGCGTTGCCTATGCTATCTGACCTTTAGCTAGCTCTGACTGGGTCCCTGACCACCTTGCTGCGGGCAGGATGGGGTAAGCCAGGCTGAGTGCAGAGAGAGACGTGTTCCTGGCATGAAGACAGGACTTAAATACTCTTTCTGGCCCATGTCAGCAAAACAGGTCACACGTGTCTTACACCAACGTGATGGAGTCCGACATGGAGGCCACGGGCGTGATCTCCAGAAGCAGCCTTGTGCGAGTGCATTTCTCCTGCATCTACTCCTATGAGCGGGTGGTCCAGCTGCCCTTCTCCCTTACTGCCATCGACACGTGAGTTGCTGGTCTTTCTCTCTCCTCTGGACAGGCATTTCCCTCCTATACGAAATGCTCGTTGGCTGCCCCCCTTCAGCTCTCAGGTGGCGGAGTTTAACTGGTGAAGCTGGTTGATTAAGGCCTGATCCCCAGTGGTGCTGAACCCCCCCAACTTCCAGCTGAAGCTGATAAGAGCAGTGGGTGTGTGGCACCTCTAAAAATAGGTCTCTCATATTTACAAGCCATTGAAGGATGTAAAGCAGCTGTAAAAATAGCTCCTGTCAATGAGATGAAGATTAGCCAGGCCACCAGGAGGTGCTGGTGAGCTTTGAGAGCTATGTCCCATCAAGATCCTTTGCCCTCACTTTGCACGGAAGTGGCCTTAAATGCCTGACTTGGACTGGCTGGGAGCAGCCTTCCGGCCCCCTGCTGCACTGGACAGCTTGCCTGAAGGGGCCTGTGCTTTCAGTAGCACATGCTGCAGGGAACTAAGACGTTCCCAGAGGTGTGTGCCATCCGGTTCCTGCCTTTCTATCTGCCCAGCCACTGCAAATAAACTGGCTTGCAGTTCACAAAGTGAGCTGGTGACCCCATCAGACTCCCCGCTGCTTGGTGTGTCAGGGGAGAGCCTCCTGGGAGACGTCTTGAGGGCATTCTTCTCGGATGTCGCTGTTCGATACCCCAGTGGGGCAGCCTGGATGGGAGCTGCTCTCTTGGGCAGAAGAGCCACTGAGGGAGCTCTTTCTGATCTCACAAGGCAGGTAGCGAACTATGCATGACTTGCTAAAGGTTGGCAATGGGGCCCTAGCTGTAAGGAGGGCAACAGATGGGCTTCCCCGTGGGCAGGAGCTGGTGGCACATGGGGATCTGTCTGCAAGCGCCGGCAATTGGATGCTTGTACCTCCATCCTGCCTTTTTCTAACTCTGGGCCTGGTCTCCCTGATCTCCTCCTAGGCTGGTGAAGTTCGTGGTCAAAGAGGGGGAGTTCAACGTGACCATGGCCTTGTACGAGACCTCGGCTTACCTGCAGCCCTACCGGCAGCAGCCCCCGGCCCTCCCCCTGTCGGAGTTCCTCTACATCCTGCTGCAGCTGGAAGGGCAGAGCCAGGTGCGGTACTTCCTGCTGAGCGTCGAGGACTGTTGGGCCACCCCGTCGGCGGACCCCAGCCATGACATGCAGCACCAGCTCATTGTGAAGGGGTAAGAGCGGTGGGGTTC